CCATTGATAGATTCATTTTATAATCATGAGAGTGTAATGCACGATTGATAAAAAGTTACGATAACAGTTGAGCGGAAAAATAGCGTATAGACATCGATTTGTTTGGCTGCTAACCATGAGCAGCCATGTATTATGCGTTGTTGTGAATTTTATAGCGGGAGGTATCGCACGACGGAAACTATGCGTTCAACTGTAAACTTCATTCATTTAATTTTCAGAAGAACACTTACGGAAAATTTATTTAAATAAAACAACGATTCGATCAAAATATAATGCGAGAATTTCGGTCACTCAATGGTGACCATGTGACTTACTAGTTCTGGGAACAAAAACAATTGCATTTTTTTTTGCCCAACCCATAAAATTTCAAAATGAAAAATAGTACCTCGATGAAAATACGTTTTGTTTACAACATTTTATGGCTTCTCTGGTGCATACAAAAGACGAAATGCAATTGTGTTTGTATGTGTTTCTTTTAATTGTGAATGCAAAACCATTCATTTTAATCAAACCTTTTTTTCGATTCTAATTGCGGCTTTATTACAACAGGAAATCACTTGATCGCACCATGAAATTGCCCAAAATATCACAGCTTATCTCAGACAAAAGGGATCCAAAGAGTTGATGTTTTATAATAATGTTTGCGCACACAGATGCATCTGGTAAAACAAGTAACGATGATGTTTAGATGATTTCAATTGTTTTACAGTTAATGTCAGTAATAAAAAAATTTTTTATTGTGTTTACATGAAAGCAATAAAAAAAATTGAATATTTGTTGTATGTGGTAGCCAACTGACTTCATCAAATAATTAGTCATTTTTTATGATGATTGAGGTTTGAATTTGGACGGTGTCTTTCGTCTCTGCACAAACACGCTTTAGAATTTTGAACAATAATGAAGTCAATTTTTTATTTCTAACCGTTTTTAACATCTGACCTTTAAAAAGTCATTTTTCAATTTTATAGTCAATTTGATATAATTTATCATATAAAATTGATTATGGGCATAAATTGAAATATCAAAAAAATGACTAGAGTTCAACGGAAACAATGTTTGCTAGTTTTATTTAACCACTAATACAAAATGATCCAATCTTTCCATTTTGATACTTTGAGATTGTTTAAATATTTTGTTTGATCAGCAAATAATCGTTGATTTAAAAAAAAAATAACATTTTAGCATTTATCAATAAGAAATCAGAAGAACCTACACGTTGAAGGTAAAAGTGCGCATTGAAAACCATCCAAATAATTGTTTTTTGTGTCTTCTGAAATCAAAATCAACATAAAATGCCAATAAACTTCCGACCAAAATGTTGAAATATTTTTCATCTTTTTCTAATCTTTACCACGCTTCGTCGAAATAGTAGAAAAAGAACTTAGTGACTTGTACATAGCACACTGACCGATTAACAAACTCTGTTAGCAAGCAGAGTATATTCGGTTAGTTGTTTCGGTCTGTTGCATTCTGGACTATCCTTTGACACTTGCGTTGTGTTTTTTTCGTTCTCTTCATAGTCAAAATTCAATCAAATGATTATTGAGCGTCGAATCATCTTCAAAGCAATTTCTTGTTGTTCAATTTAATTTTCGGTAAAAATAAAAAGTTTGTTTTTGGTATCGATATTGAATTTGGTGGTAAAACAAAGTATCTTAAAATGATGATAATCCAGATGTTGAAGAAGCCAATACTGGGGATGAAGCCACATTTAAATATGAAAACGCGAATTACCAACATGAATGGAAAACGTCTGAAGAAACCAGAATAGGTAATAATCAAGAAAGTATGCACATGCAAGGTACAACGGATGGATCCATTTCAATTACATTTTATCGTCGTTTCTTACGTTCATTATGTGGTTATTGTGCTTTTTTTCTCTCTTCTCTTTCTCACCGCTCTTTTTCAAATGACATGCGAATCATTTTTGTACACCAATTATATATTTGACCCACCGGTGATATTGAGCTCTTGCAATGTTTATGTTTCAAAAGTAATCGAAGAATATGATGATGATGATGATGGTGATGAAAAAAAAAACAATAACACATTGATATTGCTTTTGGGATAAGATAGAAAACACGTGCCTCATTTTTTTCTCTCTACAAGTCTCTGTTCTGGTTACTTCCTCCTTGACAATGAATTTTTATTGCTGTTTGAATTCATTCCCATATGATATGTTTTGTGTAGATGATAGATTCACATTATGTGTCCGTATGATAATCGTTAGCTTCTCGTGTTTTTTCTAAATCGTGTTTCTTCTCTTTTCTTCTGTTTCTTTGTCGTCGTCGTCTTTCCAGAAAAAAAAAATTATATCTCCTTCGCTTCTGCTGGAAAAGCCGGGTATTTTCGATCAACTGTTCTTAACCGCTTCGACAAAGAGGGAAACAAAACGCCAACTACATCGAAACACGTTCTTTAACGAATTCACCATATGGCGCAAATAATGGGATTCACTTTCGAATTAATACAAACGGCACATTCGCGGCATATTTTTTTCGCCCGTTTTCATTGCAACCATCAAAAATTAACACTAACAAAAACGGTGGCAGCAACAACAGCAAACATTTCAACTGATTTTGCCAATTTATGCATAAAAAGATCTAGACGATAGATTAGTTCTGGGCGATATCAACGGAAATTGTTGAGAAATGAGTGTTTAAGGGCTAACAGATGAGATAAATGATTATTTTTTTAAAACTAATTTACAATATTTTTATTCAAGATTCATTTTTTAACGTATACTTTTTGGTAGCCAAGCAATAAAACTATTGATTAAATTCCAAAAAAGAACAGTATTCCCAATGTTGAACACAATGTGCGTGTGTTTCTTTTAATTTTTCTTTTGTTCGTGTGGCGTGTGACATTAATTTGTTTATGTTGCTGTACTCGGAAATAACCTACATTGATTAGGAGAACACTTGAGTTGCGATATTATTACGATAAATGCTTAAGAACTCGGTTCGCATTTGTTGTTTTTCTTCTTTTCATTGTCATCATCATCGTTGTCGTCATTTTCTTCGTTTTTTGTTGTTGTTATTACTTTGAATGTCTGTTACGTGGTGACAACCGTTACGCTGAAAAAAGCCGCCAAAACTGCAAATGAATGGAATAAAACATGCATCGAAAGAATGTTGTTGCGATACAGAACCAACAACAGCACAAACATACGCGCATTCATTTACCAAGCCATGTGGCATTCAATTCATCGACCCTTATTTTCTCTCTATCTGATATGACCGATAAATTGAATCGGGCACTTTGTGAAAATCGAATGAGAGCTAGAAGAAAACAATACAACAGAAGACGAACAAAACGAAGACAGACATAAGGGCAACTGATGCACTCAAAAATTAGAGCACAAGCTTAGCAGGATGATTGTTTTTTTATTACAAAATTGATGGTGCTACCTGTGCCAGTCAATAGCACGCTTCATTTTTTTTGTTTCGTTTTTTTACAATTGCTATAAGTTCCAGTAGTACAGTCGTAATTCGATTACATTTTAATCGCTTCAATTTTGGTGGGATCCTTTACATACATAATCCTAAATGCATTCCTTATATAAATTGAAGATTGCATTGTACGCGTTTATTTGAATGATCAGTTTGAACACTGACCACCAATTTCAACAATTTTCGCAAAAAAAAAATCGTCACTTCCGCCTTTTGAAAACGATAATATGAGAACAATTGTTGCTGCTCTTGGGCTAGAAAGAAGACGAAAAATGCAAACTAAAGTTGTCATCTTTTGTTTGATCAGCTAAATTTCCAATTACACTCGTCGTTATTGACCATGCATTTACGAAAAAAATTACCATTTCGAATTTTGACATATATATCGTGGTGTGTCAGTTTTTAGGTGGCTCCACAAGATACCCAAGATAGTTTCATTTATAGACAGTCAGAAAGCACAAGAGAAAGAGATTTTTCTTCATTTTTGTGAATTTTCAAATATGCGCCAGTTATGAGGGAAAAAACCCAGATTAGTTTACTGTGATCACTCTACATTTATGTAAACAGTTCAATTTCTAAAGAAAAATCGGCATTGTCAATGAATGAGTGAAGCAAACAGTTAAATGGGATAGAGATTGAAAAATGAAAAAAATTGAAACGAATGAAATACAGTCATATCGATATTATATCTATTTGTATACAACCGAATATACTTGATCATTTCAAACGTGCATTATTTGCCTAACAAGTCGTGGTGATTCTTTTTATTTTGAATTCAATTCGAAAAACTCACCAATGAATGTTATACACGGAAAAATCGTCATAGATTTTCCATTCGACTGCACTCGAGTTCATTCGTTTCGGTGAATGAAAATCAAACAAACGTAATACTTTTGTGAATACACACAAATACCAACACTATATAGCAGTAGCAGCAATAACAACAACAACATAGGAAAAAAAATATTCGTACATATATATATCTCAATTGAAAAGTTAGACAAAACAATATAGTGTGCGCATGATCGCACGATAATGTGCATAAAATTGAAAATAGATGGTACTTTTATCTGATGTTGCTTCTTTCTCTTTCTTTCTTGCAATCAGTGTATTGTGTTTTTTCACTTTAAACTCTTTCACTTTGTCTGGTCAAGATTAAACTATACCGTATTTTTTCGTTATTGCAATGTGTCAATTCGAAACCATGGAATATATTCACGAACCGTAATAATAAAAAATAGCATTGAGCATTTTGTGTTAACCGCAAACTTTCAACGATGATCTTCCGAAATCACGGTGAACTACATAATGATAAAGACGGATGTATGTTATTTTGATGACCGTTTTCAATAACAAATGAGATTAAACTTGCAAAAATGTGCAGAAATGAACAATTACTTAAGTGCGATAGCCTTAAAAATTGCCCAGTTTATTAGCGATCCTGACACAGAAAATTAATAATAATAATAAATTTCTAATAAATGTTACATTTATTTTCAATTGAATCAAAAAAATTAATGAATTTTATTTTTGTGCGTATTTTTACAGATGATTTATATGTCATGATAAGTATGGAATTGCAACCATCAGTGCACATTCAGCACATAAATCATCATGGAATTATCGGATCACATGGACTAAGTTCACAATCTGGACAACATCATTCTGTTGGTTTATTGCATCATCATCAACAACAATCACAAGCACCACCTCATATCACCATGCATGATGAAAAACAGCAAAAAAGTGAGTTGATTTTCCCGAATTGTTGTGTCCTCTCTGAAATCAATAATTACCATCTCTTTTTTTTCAAAAATTTCATATTTCATTGAAATCAGTTTTCTAGATGCGATTATTTCAATCAAACTTATAAGAACAAATAATTCTTGATTAAGTCAATTCCAATAGGATTTTTTTTTCGGGTAGAAATTCCGTGTGTCTTGAAATAAATACAATAAATCCATTAATTATCGCATGAAAAGAGAGTTAAATATTAAACAAAGAGTTTGTTCGAAATGGTTAGTTTGCATAAAAATGAGCGTATTTTGCCAATTTTGTTGTTCGGCATATTTTTGTATTTAAAAATCTGTTTCATAGCGCCAAATTATACATAAAAAAGCCGTGGCCAAAATCCATTTTGTTTCCCTTTTTCATTCGGTCGAGATAATTCAAAAGGCTACACCGCTCTGGAATGATAATTTATTCATTAATACGCCAATATGAACAAAAATTCGTTGGTTCGGTTTTGTATTAAAGCGAGACAACGAAGGAAACAAACACATATATAAATGAAAAATAAAAAAAAAAACGTATCAAAGCGAAAGGCGAAAGATTTAGAACTGATTTATTATTGGCAGACATTGTTTTTGATGTTTTTTCAGAAGATGGTTCGCAGGGGAGTGCGGGCGGTGATGGTGAGTACCTTTTTTTATTTATTTATTTTACCTTAAATTTTCTTGTTTCTTATAATTTGGCTGTTCAGAATAAAATCGTAACCGAAATGAAATATTTTCAAATTAACGTTACATATACACAACAAAACAAATAATGAATCATTAAAAAAAGGCAATATAATTTTTTTTTGTATGCAAAAGAACAAAGTTTGCTAATATTGACGTAAATGCAATACATTGCCGTTAAATGCGAAAAAATTACGTTCAGTGTTATATATTCTAGTGCTGCGTACTCATTACCTCTATATTATTAGTGAGTCGAAATGATTTGCGCTATGAGAATGAATAATATATAAAACACACATTGAAGTACATTCGTCCCAACCAACAGACACGAAAAAAAGAGTGGAAGTTGTCAAACAAAATTGAATAAATTTCTGTATAAAATAACAATGGATACGTGTATGTATCATAGTTCTCACGACTCAAGGTCATTCCCAAAGTCAACGATTATGAGGCTACAAATTGTACGGCTTTTTCTCGCACCATCGAAATTACACATTTAATATCTTTATGTCTGGATCTATCTTTATTTGCGTTTTTCTTCTTTGTTATTTTGCCTGTGTTTTTGTTTTTTTTCTTTCGATTTCATAAGCTAGAAACGAAGAATCGCTTATTCGATTCGATTATTCTAGAGACTTATGTGACCCATTTTCATTTGCGAATCAACAAATCAAACCGAACAATAATTCTCTCACTTTTGATTTTTCGATTCCAATCAAATGTCAAAAATTACCAGCCGGTGTATATTTGTATGAGATTGGAGACTTTTTTTTGCGAATCTCGCTAATGAGCGCCATCTGATTTTAGTGTGAATTAGATGCAAAAACTGAATTTAATTCTGTAGCATTGAAATGAAAAAGTGAAAAAACAACAACAATAGCACGGCCACACAGAGCTGTACATCTATGCGTGCTGATGCATACATACACATATACGCTTTCTTCATTCTTTCATTCCATTGCTATACGTATCTCACTGGTCAACAGATCTATGTAGCCATGTTACTGTTGTTGTTTTTTTTCTCTTTTTCGATTCAATTCATTGTAATTGAGTTCAACTATGGAATACAAGATGGCACAGATGAGGGGAATTCGCATTTTGTCTCTTTATAGGCTTAGCCGGTTGAAAATTACACACCATACATGTATATTTTCTACATTATTCGGCTCATTTTTACTTAGCACAGATGTTTCGATAGTAATTTGAGGTTTTCGAAACAATTTTTGTTGTTGTTTTCAATCAACCGACTATGTGTGTGGTGTGTAAGCAGTTTTGGCTTTTTTTATACCTAATGAATGTCTCTGTTTATATATAGCCATTAAATAAACGAAACGAATGAAGAAATAAAAATGAATTTGCGATCCACAAATGGAATGGAAAACGCAACGAACAAAACCATTTTTTTAAAATAACATTTAATCAAACTTTGATATGGGCTTTTGTCGCCATTTCAAGCACGTTTTTGAGTATTTTTGTACAAACATTGGCAACATTTTGAATTGTGATGGTATTAAACAAACCAATCAAACCGCGAATCCCACACGAAGAGTGACAATTTTTTTACAACAACAATTACACTTGCATAAACAGTGGATATCGACAATGATTTGATTTCTGTCGTATAAAATAAAATATGAGTTTGGTTCTTTTTTTGAAGTCGAAAATTAATATTAATACTCGTAATACAAGTAGACGTAGATGTTATTCACCTCTGTTCGTCAAAGTTTTTGAGAAAATGTTAATGAAAAACAACGTTTTTTTTTATTTTAAACGAAAAAAAAACCACTATCACAAACCTAATTCACTCGAATCGAATCGATTGGTTTCAATTGAAATGAGTGCCGAAATCAAATACTTACTGTAAAGTGTAAATCGTTGCATAAAATGTGACATTGTGTTGATCTCTGATAATCCTGTGCAAACGACCTTTAAATTTGTGTGTCGGTTGATGGGCGCAAATCCATTTAATGGTTTTTTATTCTCTCTCTCTCTATCGTGTGTAACGTTCATTCGATAGAAAAAGAAATACTGAATTAATAGAAGTGCATTTTACGCAAATAATATTATGGTCTTGATGCGTATGGTATTGTGTGTAAAATAAGAAATCTCGTTGTGTTGTTGTCACGGTAAAAAGTCACTTGCATATTACAAATTGAGCTCAGTCAAGTTCATGGGAGAATGGAAAAAAACGCGCAAAACACAAACATACGCAAAGTGGTATCACACTGAACTAAGTATATGAAGCGAAGAAGAGAACGAAAAAGAGAGAGAGACCGACCCGAAAGAGATGATTACATTCAGAAATAAATTGAGCTATCAATCTTCTTGCTGTTATTACACATTTATTTGGCGTATTTTACAAATACACAACAAGATAGAATGTAGTCGTCACTACACAGTTTGAACGCATTGGCTTTATTTCTTCCATTTTTTTTTTGCACCGGAGGAAAAAAAATCCATCTGAATCGTTCGTTAGTGGGGGAAAAATCTGCAGGAAAAAAAAGAGAAAATATATATATTCTTGGATATTAGAAACGGGAAAAATGTGGGCAACTGAGACTTGACACGAATGAAAGCAATGGAAAAAAGCACAACGACATTCTAATAAGAAAAAAAAATGAAACACGTAAAATATTCGATACAATAACAACAACGACAACGATGATGAATAAAAAGAAGATATCATGCTGCGATGTCCTTTGCTCACTCTCTCACTCTTACTCTGGAGTAAAGCAAAACCATCATCATATCATATTGCTGTTTTTCTGGTCGAAACCCATTTCGAAATAATATTCATTCTTAATACAAACAACACGGGAAAACTTCGGCTTCGACAGTGACAGCATTCCGTTGTAGTCGCTCCTTCTTATATTTCTCTCGCTCTCTCCCCCTCTCTAATTGAACATTGCCTGTTCAAATGTGAGCACATATAATTTATTATATTTTTAATGTCACTTGAGCAATGAGCATACAACCGCAGCCAAAAAGCAACGCAGAAGATCCAAAAGGTACGAGTGAAGAAAAAAAAAAACCATCAACGTCGTCGTATCAAGAGAAAATCTTGATTTCATTCTCTATTTCCCTCCGAATCAACATTATGCAAATTCATTTTTGGTGTGCCGTTTTCTCTTTTGCCACTTGCTCTTTTTTTAACAAAAAGGCGAATTCGGATTATTAAAATCCACACATTGAATACTCAATATATTGGACATTTGCTGCTCACCAATAAAAAATACCATGAATAAGAAAGTATGTAAATATGCGCGGCTATACGTGAGCATCAAATCGGTGTTCGACTGAAAAGAAGCAAATTTGATTCGGCAATACACACATTCGAATCCAAATGTGAAATTGCAAACAACAACAATACAAACACACAGAGAGAGACCAAATATGTTCAACGTAAAATTGAGAATTTTTCATATTTGTTGCCTGTCATTGCCACTGTCTATTGCTGCTATCGTTGTCGGCTGTTGTTGTTGATGTTATTTTTTCGGTTGTTTTTTTTTCTTGCCAATGTACTCGAAATTGGTTGCCATAATTCATGCATTTAAATTAGATGGGGAAAGGCAAAAATAACTGAATTTTTCGTATGAGATATTTGGCGCATATAAAATCACAAGACCGTAAAATATTACTTTCTTCAGTTCGATAGATATACGTATACATGTATGCCACCGAAAAAAAACAACCTTACAGACACACCAGAGAAAGCATTCAACTACCTCGAGATAGCGACCATTTTTTTTTCGGCTACATGGAAAAACCAATCACAACAAAACCAAGTATGCACTAGTTGTCTATAAACAACACAGCATATTTGGAAAATTCAAACAATTTTTTGCATTTTTTTTACGGCCAGAATTTATTTTTAAAAAAATAACAATACTGGTTTTATTACGTATTTCTTTCTCTCTCTACAAACAACACATCCACATTTTTATCAATTCTGATGGAGTTTCTTTTAAACAGTCGACAGTTTTGCATTTGAGAAAAAAGGCGCCTAACTTATATCCACACTGAAATTGTTTCAAAATATTTAAATCAAAGTACAATGAAACATTTCTTCACGAGAAAGATATTATGAATAAATGATAAATCCTATTTTACTTAGAAATCTAGATAGTTGATTGGAGTATTTGCAAATACTCATGAATGGCAATTATTTTAAATTGTTTGTAAAGATAACGTAAATATATCCAATGATTCGATGATTGCACGTGGCCGAAAGTGAAACAGAATTTTGAAATGGCAATTAAACAATAACGCACGCATTTTATTGTATATCATTTATATTGATATAAACAATGTATACATAAAATGTGTATAGAAAGAGAAAATTGCTTCTTCTGAATGTGTTTGCAAACCGGCTGCGCAGATTTGATCAAAAGCAATGATTAATTATGTCATCGAAAATCGGCTTTTACGCATTTTTCGATTGACTTTTGATTCGGACCGAGCCATTCAAAATCAAATTACCGATCATCTCTACTATACAACCATACAGATATTGTGCGTATTGTCTGTGAAAATGACAACAACAGAATCACACAATTCCGTTCGCATCCAAACAAACAAAAAATTTATATATATATTCCATTCGAAACTGTTGAAACATGTAACAGTAATTTATTTTTATTGTTAGTGAGCTCAATAATTGCCATTTACGTATATGAAGTGTATCCCTTTGTTGATTGTTATTCTACCTGAAACTACAAGGGGGATGCCCGTCGAATGATTAAATTTAATTCAAATTGATCACATATACACAAACAATGTCACAATTTTTCCGAGTTTTTTTTTCATCTTTCTTCAACATTGTGACTTATGGAATTGACTTTGGGATTTAAAGTTCATTAACAATTGAAATTAGATGAAAAAAAAAACTGAAATGAATTGTCCCCTAGATAAAATGACATTTAAAAAATATGTGTAACTGTAGTGGCATATGGAGACGA